TCAGCGACGACTGCTGGGGAATCGTATTCGACCTCAACTTTCTGACAGTCACTGAACTGCGTTATTTGAGCGTCTTCCTCGATCAAGACCTGCCAAAAGCGAAGAAATCAGAGAAGAAATGGATGTGATTTCTGATGGTAAGCTTTTTGAAACCGTCTAAAAATATCCAGAGAGAAACCAGAGCGAATCCAAAAAAGAGATGTAATGTTTTTATACGGTGGGTATAGAAGTAATGAACTCATGAGGTAGCCACCGTGTTCTTGCTAACTTCAACAGATTGGACTTCCTCTTTTCCCAGGCATAATAAGGTGTATATCGGATCAGGACACGTCGTACGCTGGACATTCCGAGCGAGGGGTCCTATTTAGTCAGTGAAAGGATAGAAGGTGGACGTATGAACTTTAGTGAGGATAGTTTTGATTTTTACCTTTTCTGAGTTTTCCCTGTGCGCTGTAACTCCCCCCCCCCCTCCCCCTTCCTTCACCGTACGCTCGACGACAGTTCTTGAGGAGAAACTGGAGACTTTCGAATGAGGAAGCTCCAGCAAAAGGTAGAGAGTTGGGAGAGGTGAAGGAGATGGTAGGATGGAGATGGGGAGTTATATCAGGGGAGGGAATTCCGATGGCGGGTCATATTTGGCAAATTTTTTTCCCTAATGGGACCCCTAAGGAGCTGCCCCGTATAGTATGCATCTCCCCTTGTACAGATCGCATCCTTCTTGTCGTCGACCAAAATCCACATTCATCGGAATAAAAAAAAATGAAGAATGTGAGAAATCAAGATTAGCTGGTTGCTGCTCAGGAAGTAGACAGGGTTCACCGCCACTGGAGAGCTTACGAGGAGATGGAGCTCTATCTCACTGGGAGCCCTAACCTGAACATGTCGCAATTTCGCAGCATCTGACACTTGACTGGAGCTCCGTCCTCATCTCTGCCAAAGCGATATTGGGGAAAGTGGCGCATTAAAAATTGCGCCACTTTCCCCAATATCGCTTTGGCAGAGATGAGGACGTTAGGAAACTGCCCAAGATCGCTATCTCCTGAGCAGTCTCCTTCCCAATGTCTCCTAAGCACTTCACTTTCTCGATATATCCACCTCCAAATTTTACTCACAATCAGGGGGTGATGTGCTCTCTTGGGTGAACCTAACAGGCTGTTCGAGAGTGCGCCAGAAGGAGCCACAACAAAAATCTCCATTTCTTGGTTCGAAGAAAATGCTGTATACAGCTGCCAAAAACAAATATCATGAAGTTGGTGGAATCCCTGGTTTTCTTCAGACCACCTGTACCAGGGGCAAAAATGACAACGCAACCCCTTCATCTAGTGATGCTTGCGTCAAAGCGTCAGTCATACTACCTGACTACCAAATTAGGGTCACAAAGCATGAGTCGTGAAAGAACAGACGCCTTTCAGTGGGCGATAAGGACCAATCGAAGAGCGTCTAAAATCACGATCTACACCTGAAACCACCCGAATCATAATACAAAAAAAAGCTTCTTCGGAGTAAGCGGCAAGATGCATCGACACTATGGATGCCGTCAACATAGAAAGAAATCTTAGAATGTCACATGTGATTACTGCTTTGAGGCCTATTTTACTGTAATCCTCAGATGCGGTACTAGTGATCAGTGTAGGGTTTTTTGAACCTTCGTGTATATACCCTCGCACAAGTCTGTGTACCACCGCTGTGAAATGGAACCTATGATACTGGGCAACGTCGAGACTCCGATTCGATTCTTCGATTTTCACCTTAGTCTAGCTAATGATTTTTCTCGATACATTTTTCGTATGTATCGGTCGCTTACCGGATGATGGTGGGGCGTGAAACGGATAGACAGGAAAATATCTATATAGGAGCGCGATTTGGGCATTACATTCGGCAAAAGCTGAGATTTCGCGTTGGCTTATCAGGCCTTAGGTAGACAGCAGTTGTGGGAAGGTATATAAAGATTACCTAGTTCTAACTAATAAGAACCGTGTTCTGTTGACAGAATCTCGCCTGCCATACAGGTAGTACCCGTTCGCATTGGTTGTAGGAGTGTCTGTAAACAATACTCATGCGTTCAAGATGATCCACCATGATCCACCATTAGTGAGGAGAATCATGCTGACTGGACACATCACATGTGTTGGACAAACGTTTGACATGTACAAATCATTGAACCATATATATGGTGTAATTCGCTGCGGACGGTGGGCATGTCAGGGGGGATGAGCTTGGCGTGGTGCCAAACCCGTTCTCCACCAGCTGTTAAAGCGAGCAAGTGACAAGACTGTATCATGTCGTTCGTATCACTCGTTTCCCAACAACTGTTGTCGCGTAACTGCTTCAACAACTGGCAGAGAACGGGTTTTTCACCGTGGCACACTCATACTGCCTGACACGCCCCTTCGTCTGCAGTGAACTACAGTATAATTCAAAGTCAAGTAGCACGATAAACCGGCAGGGGGTCGATCACCTAGCACGAAAGAATTTGTACCCCTTGGCAGGCACTGAGTGGTGCCCTTTACCATTATACACCGTTACAGCGCCTAACAATGTGCAACATGACGGGAAGTTCTTGACTCAACTGATATTTCTGTATGCCACTTAATCTCTTAATCTTAATCTTCACCGGCGACCCTCTGCTGACCTCAATCCGCTTTTTTCCGGTGTCTGGAGTGCTCTGAAACTATTTTACAGATTTTTCGTCTGACTCCGCCCACCTCAGAGCAGACCCCGCCCACAATTTTTGTGCCCCACAATCTTCACCGGCGACCCTCTGCTGACCTTAATCCACTTTTTTCCGGTCTTCGGAGTGCTCTGGGACAGTTTTAGAGAATTTTCGTCTGGCTCCGCCCACCTCGGGCTGGCCCCGCCCACAAATATACCCCACATTTCTCAATCGGCGACCCTCTGCTGACCTTAGTCCACTTTTTTCCGGTGTCTGGCCCACAATCCTCACCGGCGACCCTCTGCTGACCTTAATCCACTTTTTCCGGTGTCTGGAGTGTTCTGGAACCGTTTTACAGAATTTTTGTCTGGCTCCGCCCACCTCGGAGCAGGCTCCGCCCACAATGTTTTTGCCCCACAATCCTCACCGGCGACCCTCTGCTGACCTTAGTCCACTTTTTTCCGGTGTCTGGAGTGTTCTGGAACCGAGCTACAAACTTTTAAAATGAATACCCTGCGATTTAGGGCAAGCTCCGCCCACTGTGGGCGGGTCTCAACACACTTTGAGCGTGCCCTATATTCGCCAGATATTTACATTCTACACTGAGTTTTTTGCGACTTCCAAACACTCTCGCGAACCGGGTTACTGAATTTTGCGAGAAGCACCGCCTTGAGTACGCCCCGCCCATTTTGGATGTGTCTGCCACAGTTAGTCTGGCGACTCCTTACTAACCTTATTCCCTTTTTTCCCCATCTTTAAGCTGCTCCGGAAGCGAATTATGAACATTTTTCTGCGGAACCCCAAAATTTCGGCGAGTGCCCCGCCCACTGTGGGCGGGGCTTCCCATAGGTCAAGTGTGCTTTTTATTGTCCCATGCCCTACCCATCCCCACCTTGACCCGACCTCTCCAAGTCGTTCTTCAGGTCGAACCGAATTTCCGGACAGACAAACAAACTTACAAACAAACAAACAAACAAACAAACAAACTTACAAACAAACAAACAGACGAAGCGAATTATATATATGGGGTGATGGTGTCCCGGCACTATTCAACTATTACTACCCCAAAAAAATTCGAAAATTTTTTTTGCTGAAACCTTGCTCACAGAGGGAATAGGTGTCCTGATCACGAATACAGCACTCGTTCTTGGCGCACTGGCGCTAGTTTGGCGCCTTTTTCACCAAATTCGATGTAAATTTGCATAGTAGGGTTATTTGATGTCTTATCACGAATACCGAATTAGTTTTGAGCCTGAGGTTCTCTGGCGCCATTAGGCGCTAATGTGGGGCCACACCCTTTTTTATCGAAATCGGTAGAAACCTGTATGATAGTTGCTTGATGCCCTGACCACCGAAATGATGTTTATTTTTTTCGACGCCAGCGCCATTTAGCGCTCTTCTAAGGCTGAGCCAGGAGAAAGAGTGATTTCCTTCAGGTCAGGCTCAGCCTTAGCAGAGCGCAGATGATCGCAGCGTCTTCCATCAGCGCCAGCGCCAAAAATGAATGTGATATTTGTAATCAAGATGTCAAATAACCTCCGTATACAAGTTTTCAGCGGATTTGGTGACCTAGGGTATTTGGCGCCGGCGCCTGTGGCGCGGGCGCCAGGCGGTTTCAGGCTGAGCGGATGTGATATTCGTGTTCAGGAGGTCAAACTACCCCTGGGGACAAGTTTTCAGCGAATTCGGTGATTTAGGGTTTTTGGCGCCGGCGCCTGTGGCGCGGGCGCCAGGCACTTTCAGGCCAAGTGGATGTGATATTCGTGTTCAGGAGGTCGAATTACCCTTGGAACCCAAATTTCAGCCAAATCTGCCCCCGTAGAAAAAGTCGATCAAGATCTGGCCTGTTTTCGGAAAATGGGGTAGTAATAGTTGAATAGTGCCGGTGTTCCATATGAAGCTCTCATAGGGCAAAAACATCAAGTCCTCTTTTGACGATGATCAGACGAGGAAACCGCAGATGAGACAAATGCTGGAGTCAATAAAAATGCCCCATTCCCCTTCGCAGGATTCATTCGAATACCCACTACGGGATAGCCGCAGTACTATTTGGAACTGACAGTCCAGGACCTCGATTTACAGCCACTCTATGCTGACTGGTTGGACACATTCGCCCCTTTCGCCAAAACGCCTTAAAGCGAAGCTTGGGGGAGGAGGAGCTGACACTGACACCTCTAAATGCCCCCCCTCCCCTATGCCTCTGGATGTCAGCGCTTTATTATTCACTACATATATGCACTTCGGTATTTAGAAGTTTGACAATGATATCATTCCGTCAAAGTTAAGCAGAAGCCATTAGTAAAACCATGCGAACGAATCAGGACAAGCACTTGAAGAACGCTTCACTTCAAAGGAAAAACTTGCCGTCATTGGTGAAAACGTAAAATTTCACATTGCCGAGCACCTCAGGAGTACCTCGAAATATTAGATATACCAAGCATTCTGTCACAGAGCTCGTTAAAATTGCTCACAACCAGGTTACAGGCTACTGCTTTACTAATCAAGCAGAACACAGGGACAAACATACATTTCCTGAGTACAAATCAAGAAGGAAGCCAGATTGGATGATCGAAACTTGTCTGTAGGGTTCAGACGAAAGCGAAAAAAGAGCGCTACACTGCGGGGGGGGGGGCGGCATCATCATCTCTCACCCCGCGTGCCCTCTCCACCTCCTGGGGCTTAGGCTTAGTAGAAACGACCAAAGTTGCCACTGGATCTCGTAGAGCAGATATAGTCGCACCAACACGTTTCCTCCTCCCCTCCCCTCCCAAATTACGTTAGTGCCATTAAAGAAGCAGTGACTGGGTGGCTTTGTCAAAGCAAAAGTAAAGCAGATGATGAAATTGAAAAAGATCGTTTTGGAGGTGATTTCAGTGATCTAATTTTTTTCTCCAGTGGGATGTTGGTCAGCGCGTGAGTCGTTTAGCTGCAGCTCACTTCCCATAGAAGAAGGCGATCCCTTCCTGTGAGGTGAGGCTCAGCTCTATTCTGGAAAAAGAAATGGGGTCGTTCGAGACGCTCACTCTGCATTGTCTCCACACCCAATCTCCGCGGCCGCTCCACGTAGGTAAAATGTAGGTAGAACGTGCTTGGGTTGGAGCTTTTCCCAAAACTGAACGCTTCGTTGATTCTAGGGAACCGGGGCGATCCTCCGAGCGTAAACGTGGACCAGTGCTTGAGCGGACGAGCCCTTGCCATAGAGCAGCCACTGAGCGCGTTGTGCTTTGAGCTTTGAACTCACAAGGGAGGTCGTTAGGTCACTTGCAACTTTGACCAGTTGCTGAGTGGGGGTCCTTATAAAGGGGCCGTTTGAATCGAAGCGAAAAATCGCCGTAAGTGAGCTTCCAAC